TTCCTTATTGTGGTATTTTTAAGTGTAGTTCACTGCAAATAAATGTTTCGGTATGTAGACTCCCCCCTCTTTTTTGAGGGCAGTAGCCTCAGTTACTGCTACTTCTCTCAGTATCTTATAGAAGTTCCTTATTTTTTTTTTTCAGGACATTGTAAGCTTAAGACTTCACTTCTTGCCTTTGAGTTCCTCGTTTTGTGCCAGAGGAGGCTCTAAAGAGGATGTTGACTTGGGCGGCGGGGCATAGGGGGAGGTTCCTTTCTGAATAGTGGTATGTTCTCTCCAGAAGGGCAGTTCTCAGCCTTTAAAAAATGGCTGTGGGGAGGCTGGTGTTTTCACTAGGGACAGATGTCTACTCTGGGAATTGGTCCTTGAGAATCTTTTGCATCCTCAACTCACGTACTGCATACTGTTGGGAGGCGTCAGAGTAGGGACATTGCAGTCTAGCAAAGTGAAGTAAAAAAAAAAAAAAAGGCTGATGAGACCTCATTGAAGTGTCTATGTTTGACAATACAGAAGTCTCAGTCTTCAGAGATAGTGTTTACTTACTGAGAAGAATGCTGGGCTAAGACCCCACATGGTTACTGTCTTGATTTGGTATGTCAGTTTCTTATAGTAAGAACAGTCCTTTAAGTTTATTTGATTAACCCAGAAAAACTCAGATCAGAAATCATTTATCTCCTCAGCCTCTCCACTGTTCTTTCCCTCACCCCACACAGTGGACTTTGCCCTGGTAGGACCCAGGGGTGTCTGTAACACAGGGACACAGTCATGAAAGTTCACTCACTGACTGCTTTCTAGGAGGCTTTTTTGGTTGTTGTTTGTCATTACTACTTTTTCTATTGTTTATTTTTCTCTTTATTCACTTACCAGTTCTTGGGAGCCTCCTTTGTTCTAGGTACTGAGGGTAAATAAGTATAGGCTCTCTTGCTTTCTACCTATCTAATGATATAACTTCTATTTATTGAGCGTTGCCTCTGCCAGCCACTTTACATGCATGGTGTCTTTCCATCTTTCTAACAGCCCTGTCAAGTAGGAATCCTCATAGGGCTGAGCTGAAAAAACTTGCATGAGGTTATGCTGCCATTAAATGACAGAGTCTGGATTCACACGCAGTCTGCTGCAGCCTTTTTAAGGAAGAAAGGGCTCTGAGATGGAAGGATAAATCACAGACGACTTCCTTATGGATCTGAAATGACTGGAAAACCAGAAGTGTGGGGAAAGGGGGCTGCGGCCCCACTGCCCTCTGCTGGCCAGCCCAGATCTACAGCTCGGAGATGATTTCTGTTGTTTTCATTACAGACTGTGTTGATGGACCAGTCTCGCTTCCAGGAGCTCCAGCTTCAGCTGGAGCAACTGACCATCCTGGGAGCCGTGTTGCTGGTTACGTTCAGCATGGCAGCCTCGGGAATTTCCAGCCAGGCTAACTTTGCTGAGAAACTCAAGATGATTGTGAAGATTCTGCTAACAGATATGCATCTGCCGTAAGTGACTAAGGCTTTAATGGATGGATGAGAGGCAGCAGGGCAGAGAGTATGCTGGAGCAGGGCTCTCCCAGTGTGAGGCGGTACCCAGGGCCACTCTCTCGCAACTGAGAGGAAACCTTGCTCTCCAGTGTCCTTCACCCCAGCATAATTTATTCAGAGTCGTATGGTCTAAGTTAGAATCAGCTCTAGGGTTCGCAAGACACTAGGATAGTGGCTTTCAAATGTTTGTGAGCAGGACGTGTAGTAAGAAACTTATTTTCTATGGTGCCTTAGTACACACTTAGATACTTATGTAACTGAAATAAAAATTTCACAAAGTGAAACTTACCCCAACTATGCTTAATACATTCTGATATTTCAATTTTATTCCATCAAAAAAAAGTACTGGTTGCTGCCTACTAAATTGCTTTCACAACCAACTAACCATTTGGACAACACAGCCCTAGGGAAAGGTCATATAAGAAATAAGCTGTAGTCCTCAGAGTTGCATGTATGCGATCGAAGTTTTCTGCCCTTTGCACATTCCTCATAGACATTTTGTGATGGGTATAAATGGATTGTTTTATCAACCAGCATTAATCCACACTTTTGAGGGCAGCTGCTATAACTGCTTCTGCAGTTAAGTTAGATTAGGTGATTTATGTGGTTTACAGCACATAGAATATTTTTGAATGATTCTAAGTAAACACTACACCTGACAAGGTGCACAAAACATGCATGTGTTGAGTGCTATGAGGGGCATGTCCACATGTTGTGACTTGGTTCAAAAGTCTTGACTTAGGCCAGGAGGGTGTTTGCTGAGCTGAAGCCTGGGCTGAGGCCCTTGCACAGGTGTAACCTTGGGCTGTCACCTAGGTCCCCCTCCAGCAGAACTGCTCTGTCAAAACTGCTGATGAGAGGGGCCCTGCCAGGTGTTCCCTTAGGAGTCCATCCACTGCAGTGTTTACCCTGGCAGGCAGCGGCCGGCACAGACTTGGTGCCAGCAGTGAGTCCTGGGGCTTGCACACTTGTTCCACTCGTTCTGCCGTACAAAGAATCTAGACCCGGAACAAAGGCACTTGCCTTCTTTTAGGATACCCACCAGCAGGACACTCTAGGAGAGTCTAGGAGCCCCAGGAAATCCTGGTGCTAATTTTCTTAACTTTTGGATTTCAATGTTATTTATTCTTTTAAAGTAGTTAATACACTTATGTGTTTCAAAAATCAAAAAGGAAAAAAGGTATCTAATGAAAAGTTTCTCTCCCGCACCTGTCCCATAGCTACCACATTTCTGGTTTCTTGTGTTTTGCTTCCAAGGTATTCAAGATATTTTTAAGTCAATTCCAGGCTTATTTTGCCACACAGATACTAGCAAGAAGTTGGGTTTTGGGTTGTTGGTCCTGATGTAATCTGAATCCTCCCCTTCCCACTGCCTTTTCTAGCAGAGACAGAGACAGAGAGAGAAAGAAGAGAGAGAAAGGAGAAGTAAGTCCCTCAGTCAGGTGTACACGGCCTGAGACATTAGGGGCAGGGAAGAGAATCACAGATTCTTTCTTCAACCACACCAATCCATGATTGGTTATTGTGACTGTTATCAAGATGTTTGAGCTGGGTAGATATGCACTTTGTTTATAGTTTTTTTCTTCCCTGGCTTCTCCTTTCCCTTCTCTGCTCAAGCTCCTTCCATCTGAAAGATGCCCTGACAACAGTCGGGGAGAAAGTCTGCCTGGAGGTGAGCAGCTGCCTTTCCCTGTGTGGGTTCGCCCCCTTTACCACGGACAAGGAGACCGTGCTCAAGGGCCAGATCCAGGCCGTGGCCAGTCCTGACGACCCCATCCGCAGGATCATGGGTATGTTTGGGGGAAATGCAGGACGCAGGGACGTGCCCTCAGAGAGGCTGGCAGAGAGGTCCCTCTGAAGGAATCTAAAGAGGTTTTGATGGATTATGAGTGTTGGTGAGTGAAGAGAGAGTGAGTAATCACCATACTGCCATGAGGGTGACCCAGAGTTTTGGACAAGTGACCTGTCAGCCATCATTGTTCCGAAGGCTCTGACTTTGGAATCACAGGCCGTGGTTCAAAACTAGCATTGTAAAATAATAGAAAATATGTATATTGGTCTCTCCCCCGGGTTCCTGGCTCAGAGCTCAGAAAACCCTTGTAATTTCCTAAGTGTTAAGAGCACTAGGAGCATCTTGTGTTCTAATATTTGGTCTTTGACCCTGGTTCTTGACTAGTGCTCCTAAATCATTTGGAATTTCCTGGGTGGTAGGAGTGTCTTTTCTAGTCAGGGGACTTGATGGGCTCCTGGATGGGGCTGGTCACAAGAAAGACCAAGCCATGATTAGAAGCTTGGAATTTTCAGCCTTTCCCCCTTCCTCCAGAGAGGGGAGAGGGGCTGGAAATGCCTACCTGTGAAGCCTCCATGGAGAGGACTAGATGATAAGATATTAAGTGCCCACCATAGTAGCTGGCAGCACATAGTAAGTAGTCGATAAAGAGCTATTATTAAAAATATTACTGTGTTGTATTCGCTGTTACTTTTCCTCATCACAGCACTGGCACTGTGAAAAATTCTGTTCACTGGTTGATCAAGGAATACAATGTTTATCTAAGTTAAAAAATTCAGATATATCTTTAACATAATTTAATTTTTAAGTCCTTCCTCACCTCCTTTGTGATACATATTCAATATATAAATAATGAAAAATTAGCAGGCTTCAGGCAAAAGCTGAATGATCTATGGTTATCAGACTTCAGATTGGAGTAGAAGGTTCAACCAGAGACACGGGCCTATTTCCAATACTATGAGCGCTTTGATTTTTTTTAAGTCTTAACTAATATTTTATGAAAATATTAGATCCATTACATAGATCGATGGCTTTTAAAAAATTAAGTTGTTTTATACCAGCCGGCATGGGTCACAGTTTCGTTTGTGGATCACTCAGGAGGAGCCTCTCGAAGATTCAGCAGGGCCCTCGGTATTATTGCCCTTAGTAGAGATGCAGGACAGTGCCTGTAAATAGACTGATCAAGGACTGATGAGCTGCTCCGTGTCCTGCCATCTGGTTGTTTAGTCAGAGCCAGTTATAGACATAAAAACCAGCCCTCGGGCAGGACTGAGATAAGGATCTCTACTTCTGGGTGAGGCTCCCAGCTCTGGGAACTTTAAAATACCAAACTCACTTTGGAACAGGGATGATCAGACTCATCGGTCAGCAGTTTCTGTCAGTGGGTTACTGGGTTCCGAAAGGTGAGAGTTATTTGCAGTTGAGAGGGTTCCCCAGGACAGGGTGTGGGTATGTAGTTTGAAAAAGCCCATTCAATATAAATGTCCCTATTGCTTTTGTAATCAAAGCTACAAGAAGTGTGGCACACACTCTTTTTTGGCTGATGAAGATACACAAGAGAGTGCAGAAGCATCATAGAGGGGAGTGGGCTAAAAAAGCATCAACCTAAATTATTCCTCAGAACAGGACAAGCTAACAGATGCCGACAGCCCCACGGCCCTCCATTGTAGGCATTAAGGAAGGAGGCGCACGCTGCTTACATGTGGACTTAGTGGGAAAAGACAGATCACAAGCCAACAGCACTGGAATCTGTGATCAGCCATGCTAATGTTGGTCTCAGTGTCTTGCTTTTCTGAGAGCAGAACCTATCTCCACTGTAGTCTCCCTTTATTCATTCACACATTTATTCTTGCTCTCCAAATGTATTCTGAGTTTTTACTGGGGCCAGGTTTCATGCCAGACACTGTGCTGGATGCTGAGGAGAGCATGATGAACAAAACAAGCATGGTTCTTGCCCTCATGAAACTAACCATTAGTGGGGGAGAGGAAACTACACATGTGATGACTGTTCAGAAGTGCAAGGTGCAATGGGTACCTGGTCCAGGCAGTGGTCAGGAAAGACTTCTCTGAAAAGGTGAAGTTTAAGCTAAAAACTGAAGCATATTGAGAAGTTTGTAAAGTCACTCTAAACAAGAAACAACCAACTGCTTTTTTTCTATCACAGATGCCCGAATCCTGACCTTCTTAGAAACCTACCTTGCCTCAGGTCATCAGAAGCCATTGCCCGCAGTACCTGGGGGATTAGGTCCAGTCCAAAAAGAGCTGGAGGAGGTTGCTGTTAAATTCGTTCGCCTGGTCAACTACAACAAGATGGTCTTCAGTCCCTACTACGATGCAATCCTCAGTAAAATCCTTGTCAGAGCCTAGCACGTATGTTCCTACAGCGGCAGTGTGATCTACTCAACTCAGAATACGTGTTCTCAACTATAATAGTGCTTTGGAAAATGGCTATTTAGTACATTTCTATTTAATAGTATTGATTACAAAAGGAAGAATATTATATATCACTGTTGAAAAGACTTGTTGAAAAATGCACTGAATTCTATTTTGAGGGTTTATATTTATGAGTGCAAGTTTACAAATCAAAGAAACGTTTTCTTATCTTGAGTTTCATAGGTAGCATTCAGCTTTTAAACACTTGACTGCCATGTGTCTCCACCCCTACCCCTGGCATCCTGATTGTATCTGCTTACCCCTAAAGGCTGGGACCTCCCTTTTGCCATCCGGGTAATTTTTCTTTCAAACACTCAAGAGTACCTGACAGCCACCCAAGAATAAAAGAAACAGCCATGGCCATGTTTAGATTCTTGCCCCTCTCTCGCACAGCCTCCCACCTGTCATCCCGCCAGGTTATTTTGTGTTAGAAGGACTACGTGTAGTCTCACTGACTTTTCCCACCCCACTCATTGCTTTCCCCACCCCACTTATTGCTTTCCCCCTGTCTGACCTAGCCAGAGCCCCAGAGCCTTTTTGTTGTAGAGGAGTTACTTGATTTTAAAAAGCTTATTCTTTTATACAGAATTATTCCTGAGCCTTGATGACAGCAGTTATGACTTATGGGATCTAGAGAAAGGAAACTCTTTAACTTTTAAGCCTTGAAAGTCAAGGAGGAAATATATATATATTTTTAAATATATGTTAGTATAATATAAAAGAAGTAAATGTCTGGAGTTTTTACGGAAAAATTCACTCTGACACAATACACAGATGTATTGGTTAGATTAGAATCCCAGAAGTAGAGTTACGTGTTTTCAGATAAAATAGGATAAGTTTACTTATTTCTTTGGTAAGGAAGTCATAGATAATCCTGTTTCGAGCAGTATTTTTCGAGGAACTTCAGTGACCAGAATTCCTGACGTATCCTGTGACTGAAAGAGAAGTTTGGATCTTATAGATGACCTGGTCTAGTAAAAAAATAAACGTGTGCACGTGTATATTTCAGACAGAGACATAATATTAGAAGCAGAGCCATGAAGTTGCTGGAGGGGTCTCCAACTCCCAGAACAGCAGGGGGTGAAATATTGCAAGGAATCCCTTTATTGAAGGCAATGAGGGGTGGGGTGCAGTGAGGGACAAGGTTGGAGGCAACCTGAGAAACATTTACCATGTAGACTGTCCAGTGATACCAGGCTTCCAAGGAGTGAATGGTCATACTGGCGGGGATATGATTTCTCCAAATACATATTACATGTTTTTTTACTTGCAGTCAGAACTATGCTGCATTATGTGGTCAGAAACCATATTATTAAAGTTTCGACTCAAGGACAAATCTTCCCTGGTTTCATTGGAAAGGGATAAAAAGTTCAGTACCTAGGAGTTTTCAAGAACAAAATCGTATCTTTTATAGTGTGTTCAATGAGGCCACTCTTGGAATCGTTTCTGGCGGTAGGTTGCTCTGTGGCACTGTGCTCATGGGCTGTGTGATACCAGGTTCTGGGCTGAGAAGCAACCGGGCAGCACTCAGCCTGCCGCAGCCTTGGCATGTTTGGGGTGCTTTCTCCTTCTCCTTCCAAGGACAAAGGAGAGGAGCTTTACCCCCAAACACACTGGGTAGAGCACCACCTCCGGCAATTATTCTTCCTAAATCTCAAAAATTCTTGTTTTTGCTTTCTTTTGGAAGAGTTAACTCTCACAAGATTTTTTTTGCCCCTAATGAGTTCCTAAATTGACAAAGTTTGGACAGTTTGAAATCTTAGTGCATATAGTGTAACAGAGTTTCACAGACTCTCACGATGCCCCCTACCTCAGTTTCCTCTGGTGGAGTTGTGTGGCCAAAGCCAAAAATGAAGGAGGCAAAGTTCAGAATCAAATATTCATATTGAATTGTTTTGTTGTTGCTCTTTGAAGATAAGTGAGCTAATTTTCTTCCTGGAATCTCATAGGATTATCACTAAGGGCCAGGAAAATTCACTTAGTTCATTTAGTCACTCAGGAAATGTTCATTAATTAAGTATCTTCTTATAACTCCTCCCTACAGCTCTCTAGCTCCTCCTCCAAGACAAAATATCCTTATGGCATATAAATTATCCTGCATTGAATTGGTTCTTTATACTGTATATGGATTGGATTTAACATGATTTCCTGCCTAACAGGTTTGTGGAAACAAGTGTCTTTTACGAAAATGCTGAGTTCATTTGGTGGATAGAACTGAGAGCCTTGAGAGGAGGTCAATATCAACATGTCTCAGATTTATTTGATAGTCTCCTGAATGGATGGATGGATGGATGGATGAATGAGTGAATGAATGAATGAATGAATGAATGTCTGGAGCAGTAATTACTGCTTTGTCGGCTTTCAGTTGGGTAGATGGGTAAATGGATTATCAGTCTAGGTGTTTTTTAAAAAAATGCCATTACTTTTAAAGCTAGCTGTGAAATGTGATTGTTTATATAACCATGTAACAACTATGTTTCAGGTAAGAACCACACTGATAGACTGTCTTGTCAATTAAATGCAGTAGACAGATGTATGAGAACTTTTTTCTCTGTGAAGAAAAGTTATTAATCAGTTTGATACAATATCAGGTAGACATACAGGCTGACTATTGTAAATGGGTTATTCAGCAGTTCTGTTTTGGGAGCAGTACTTGTTTTCATTTCTCTAAGGCCTTGAAATTCCTGAGAATAAAGGGATGTTGTTGCCACCAGCTTTTCTGGTGATTTCCAAAGGGAATAGGTGTTTGCTGTTTGATTTCCAGTGACCTTTTGGCATGCCCTGATTTGTATGTATAACATTTGTTTCTTTTCATTTTGAGGCATGCTGGTAGAGCGGAAAGATGGGGAGCTGTCAAGAGTTCTGATCTCATTTCTGTTACTTACCAGCTGGGGCAAATCAGGACCTTTTACTAAAACCTATAAAATGAAAGAACTGGACTTGACCTTTAAGCTCCTTTCCAGTTCTGATGTTCTGTGATAAATCTGACTGCAGTAACTTCAGTAGGATGTAGTAGGATTGTACACAAACTCCTGATTTAGAGGAAGGTCTGAGTTTGAGTCCTCTGTTGCCTTCTTACTGGTTTTATGGTATTGGCTAGTCAGTCTCCCTAGGCTCTCACTATTTTCTTCTGTAGAATGGGAACACTACTAACTCATACTTCCTGTGAGTATTGAATTTGATAATGGATATCAGAATTTTTGTACACAGGAAAGGATTATAAATTGCTTTATTAACAACAAAGGAGAGCATATAACCCTCTACTTGTAGGTGCACATCTGTTATCAACTGTCGGGGTCCTGCCTCCCTTCAGTCACACACATTTCACAGGCCTGTAGGGACAGTTTTCTTCCTATCCTGTTTCCAGACTGTTATTTTCTTTCATCATCTCTTCTGTGCTAGAGCTGCAATTTTACCTTATCTCCCAACATCCACCTCCACCCCAGTGATTTCTCCTTATCTCCACCTCTGTGTTATTATTTGAACTAAATGAATGCATGAATGAACAAATGAATGGATGGCTGAACAGTATTGGATGATGGGCTATAACACTCATATTTAAAGGCATTGTCTCATTGGAAACATAATCTAAATAAAGAAATACAATAATGTTTGCAATTGTGTATTTAAATTGGATTTTGTATTAAATAACTATTTTAATGGATTAGCCTCTTTTTCATAGTATGCAAAGCAACTTGATGGCATGAGGGGAGGGGAAAGCCTTTAAGCCCAATAAGTTCTTTTACCCTATCAAATGTTCACTGATGCTTTCAGAAATAGCTAGAGCCCCCAAAAGTAACTGTCAGAAACCTAAACAGGGCAGAAACCCACTATGGGTTTCTGTCATACCTGACTGTATTGCCTTCTGAAATGAAGAACCAGAACTAACTTATAGGCCCAGTTTGATGGAGCGTCGCTTATTTATTGGAGTTAGTGGCAATAGTCGTATGTCACCATTTTTAGGTTTGTCTTATCTGAACAAAACACTGAGAACCTTTAAGTGCAACATCTAAAAAGCAAACTTGCAATTGAAGTAACACTATTGTTTTCTGTCTTTCTCATTCACGTTGCCTTTGCTTTTTAAAGCACTGTCTTCCTTCTGCTCACAGCAGAACTTTGGTCAGGGCTCAGTCAGGGAAGAAAATTTAGTAAAGTGCCAAATTGTTTTTCTTGACTTTTATTTCCAAAGCTTGGTAAGCTGACACTTCTGTTGAGTATTTAAGAATTTGCTTAAATCAGTAACATAGTTTTGAAGTTTTGTTACTTGGTATGAATTATCTTTCAAGATTTATGAATTTTTTATGAAAGAAAATATTTCACTTGCCGAATGTCACAAGGAAAAACTACAAACTTTAATAAAGTTTGTTTTGGGAATTGAAATGTAAAAACCCAAAATTTGTTAACATGGCAATTTTACTTTTACTATTATGTAAATGAACTTAGTTTTACATATTAAATATAGGCCAATAAAGGGTTTTAAGTTACCAAAAAAAAATCATAATTATTGACTAAGGCCAGTATGTTGAGAAAAGTGCATTTCATTTTTTTGTTCATTCTTTTCTAGTGGTACAATTTGGTTGTTCAGTTTTACATTTACTAGGTAGTTACGACCTTGTACTTTACTAGGTGTGGCAATATAGATATAACCTCTTGTTTGAAATTTAGTTCTAAAGACCAGAGTTTGACTGATTCTTGTTTAGGAAGCACTTACAGTCCTTAAATTTTATCCAGTTCTAGAACTGTGGGGGAGATTCTGTCATTGTTTTTATAAAAAGGAAAAACATGGGTGTATTTTTGGGAAATTTCTCTGGGTCTGGCAATACAGAAATGAAGAGTGCTTGGACATGTAAGATCAGCTATGCCAAGAGTCTGCATATTAGGATTCCAAAAGTTAGTTCAGATTTCTAACTTTATGCTTCTTGTTCAGCTATGTTTACAAAAGGAATTACCAAATATTCACACAGAATCATATTAAAAACTAAAAATTCATATATATCTACAGCAGTTAGAATATTAGAAAATGTTTTATTCTAATGAGAAGTAATCCTTTTTATGTTTAAAGGTCAGAGAATTTCTAGGGGAAAAAATCTTAGAAATAACTGCAGTAGGAGCAATTATAGTAGACATGATGGCCTTAATGTGCTTTGTGGCACTTTTCAGCAAGGTAAGGGCTGTGTGTGTGTGTGTGTGTGTGTGTGTGTGTGTGTTTATTACAATGCTAAAATAAAGATAATTTCTCATGTGCATTCATGTGGTTTTGTTTTGTTGTTTATGGGAACACTACTATAGACATTATCAAAACACTACCCAAAGGTAGCACTTAAGGAAAAATTCTATACCTCTATATTCTCTATATTTTAAAACCTATCCTACATAGTACTACTTGTGCCTCTTAGATGGTTTTGTTGATAACCATAATATTAAAAAAAAACCTTACACAGCTTGAAAATGATACTTGAGAGGATAACAAAATCTGAATTAAAGCCAGCTGACTTTAAGGAAATTTTAGCTTCAATGAGAAAAAACAGGAAACACATACTTGTGACCAACCTATGAAAATATAACCTTGCTACATATAGGTGTATATAAGAAAATGATTCATGATAACCCTTTTTTCATTACGAGTTTTAAAGAAATATTTGAAGCTAATTTTAAAATGTAAGATTAACATTTAATCACATTTGAATGCAAATTCTAAATTGTGTACCCAATATTGTAAGATAGTTTCTTTATAATCATAATACTGTTCCTCATTTTTTTCCTTCTTGATTTTTAGCTTTTCTGAATCACAATGCTTAGCCTCGACTAGTTTTCTTTATATTAGGCTTTCTAGAAATAAGTCAAAAGGAGGTAATGTTGCTAACAGAACAAAAGGTAATTCTTTGAACTTAATTTGCATGGCAACTTTGTGCTCATTGTAATTAAATTTGGTTAATCAACTAGTTTTCTTTAGTGCTATCTATGTTTAGCTCATAAAAAAAAGTTCTTGAGCCCTGGACTCCTTCTGAAATATATTTATGTTAGAACAGGACAGTGGGTAGTTAAAGGAATTCTCACACATATTTGAGGATTTCTAAAATGTTTCATTTGCCTCTTAAAAATGGATCCCTCATGTTTGCAGTTAGTCCCCCAAAAGACCAGGGAGGACATGCAGTTAAGTGTATGTACTAGGATGGCTCTTCCGTGCATTGTTGACGTTTACTTTGAAATGGTATTGGCCAAATAACATAAAATTAAGTAGCTATTTTAAATAAATTCTGAATGAAAGTAGCAGATGGAGGCGTGTTTTTTGAGATCCTTTTATTTTTTAAAGGATTGTTTTAAAATTTTAAACTACAAAACAGATTCCATACATTCTGCCATAAATAAAAACAAACAATAAGGCAGGACTCTACGTAAGCAAACCGAGAACGACTGTTTTCAGAAAATGTGATAAAATGCTTTACAATCATAAGCCATCCAGTTTTTAAAATAAAACTGTTGAAAACTCACAAGCCTTCAAGCGGCACATACAAGACACCCTTGAAGAGGGAACAAAATGTGGTTCTGCCATTTTGTACTGTTCTCACATTTTTGAAAAACTAATTTTGTTTATAGAGCATAGGTCTGTTCCATATTCTAAAATTCACACAGGTTGGTTTGTTTATTTCTCAAGAACCATATGATAGAGGCACCAATGACAATACAACTTTGTTTCCAAGAACCAAATGCTTGTAACAAAGCACTGTCTCTTTCAAACATATGACTTAAGAGGCAAAAAGGGAATCCTGGATAAGAGTTTTCTTTCAGAGGCAGGTTTTGAGCCTGCTTCACCGAATTCGCTTCTGCTGCCGTGCCCTGTAAATGTCATGAACCGGCGGGACGACGGCCCCCTTTTCCTCATCCTCATCTGAATCCTCGTTGGGCCTTTTGACGGCCTTGGTGAGTACTGCATTACTCTCTACCGGGCCATTGCCTTCTACAGCCAGCTCTGGGGCTCCGCCAGTAATGATCCTCACAGCTTCCTCCACGGCTATTGAAACAAAACAGAAAGGGCTGTTGGAAGGTGCTGAAAATTGCATTGCTATCAAAGAACATGCACACACACTTTCAGATACTTTATAGTTAATCTCAAGCCTACTGTTAGCACAGCATGGATGGTACTACTGGCCCTAAATAATTAACGGAAAAGACAAAATCTGCTGTTAAAATTAATAAAATTGTTTTCATAAGCCAAGTCTGATAGTGCATGATTAGAAACGATAAGCTTTTAGGACATTTTACTTAGAGGAATCAGAATATGAACAAGTATCTGTGCCAAAGAGGGTTTGGATCACTCCTAGGTTTCTTCGTATTTCTACAAGGTGGCTAGCTGGTTTTGGAAACTTCAGTGGCAAAGAATAACAGTCTTTCCTGAATAGTAGACAACAACGTGAATTCCACTCTAAGAAAAGGCACTTTTATCTCTTACTATTTGGTATCTTGCATCTTCGGAAAATTTCCATCAGTTCATCCACTTGTACAAAGGGACCCTATTTTGACACGAATAAAATTTAATTTTCTTAAATTTTTTATTTTTCAATTACAGTTGATATTCAATATTGTATTAGTTTCAAGTATATAGCACAGTGGTTAGACATGTATATAACTTATGCGGTGATCTCCCCATAAGACTAATACCCGCCTGACATCATACATTGTTATAATACTATTGACTATATTCCCTATGCTGTACTTTACATCTCCATGATTATTTTGTAACTTAATCAGTTTGTACTTCTTAATCTCTTCACCTTTTTCACCCATCCCTCCAATCCCCTTCCAGTCTGGCAACTATCAGTTTGTTCTCTGTATCTATGAGTTTGCTTCTGTTTTGTTTGTTCATTTATTTTGTTCTTTAGATTCCACATATAAGTGAAATCATATGGTATTCGTCTTTCTCTGTCTGACTTACTTAGCATAATACCCTCTAGAGCTATTTATATTGTCACAAATTGTAAGATTTCATTCTTTTTTACGGCCAAGTAATATATATGCCGCCTCTTTTTTATCCAATCCTCTGTTGATGGACACAGGTTGCTTCTATATCTTGGCTATTGTAAATAATGCTGCAGTGAACATAGGGATACATGTATCTTTTTCAAATAAGTGTTTTGGATTTCTTCAGATAAATACCCAGAAGTGGCATTGCTGGGTCATATGGTAGTTCTATTTTTAATTTTTTGAGGAACCTCCACACTGTTTCCCGTAGTGGCTGCACCAATTTGCAGTCCCATCAACAGTGCATGAAGGTTCCCTTTTCTCCACATCATCACCAGCATTCGTTTGTTGATTTATTGTTACTAGCCATTCTGACAGGTGTGAGGTGATAGCTCACTGTGGTTTTAATTTACATTTCTCTAATGATTAGTGATGTTGACACAAATTTTAATACCCAATAATCTGACAAATTAAAACAGCACTACTTTATATTTCCCACAATACAAGAGGAAAAGCAGTCAGTTACTATAATCTATAGACCAAGTATCTACCATGAACATAGTCAACAAACCTGAAAACAGATAGGAGGAGGGAGAAGTTTCATTAAAACGACAGCAGCAGGTGGTACTGGAAATACTCCACCAGGGACAGGGTGTAAGCCCGGAGCTGTAAGAGAAAGAAAAGTAGGGGTCAGATGGAATGGCAGAATTTCTATACCTTTAAGAGCTAAAATAAACAATTTGTACATAAAGATGTACTTTACGTACATAGATGTCTGGCAGAATTTCTATACATTTAAGAGCTAAAATAATCAATTTGTACATAAATATGTACTTTATGTACATAGATGTCTATGTTACTTTGTTCTGGATGTTTTAAATTGCTTTTAGTGCTTTACATGTTTGACCAAACTCAAGTGGGTGACACACTGAGAGCAGTCTCAACCCCATGGCCAATGGGAGGCAAGTGTAAACAACAACAACAAACAAGTGACCTTGCATAATACAACCCAGGGGCTGAACTAACGTCTATTTTTGTCAAAGACCATTCCTAAGCCATTCCTAAGAACAAATGAGTCATTTGTTCAGCAATCCTGTTTAAAGTTAGTTATTCAACAACATACTTAATCATTAAAGGCCTGGTTCAAATAGGATCTAGAGGCTTTACTACTCATTAGTAAGTATAAATAATACCAAATAATATCAGTGAAGTAAGTTTCCAGCTGTATAGGTAATCTGTATATAGCAGCATGTCTGAAAACTGTTCAAGTATCACTGCCAAAATGGGTTACTGAAATCTGGATTAGTGAGGTTTTTTTTTTGACATTTTTAATGTGGTTCAAAGATTATAGTCAAGTCACTTGTCATAGTGACCCTAGTCTGATAATTAACCTACAATGGAAAGGACGCATTACTCTGCCCACCCCTCTCCACCCCATCTCTGATTTCAATCAATAAACAAACTGAGGTCTCAGTACTGGATCTAAAGTCATGGCTTACGTGCTAAGTGTCGTGGCTGAAATGGAATCATCTGCTGGGTATCTGGTTTAGGGTATTCTGGTTTTCTATCCACTTCATCTTTCAGAACAGGCACTATAGAAGGAGCTACAACTGGGTCTGGAATTATAGCTGCTAGTTTAGCACGGGAGACATCCTGAAAATGCAGAACAGAAGAATCCTAAACCTGAAAAAGGGACTTACAGAGTATAATTGTGCAATTCTACAATTTTGAGGCTACACTGAATAATTGGGTTAAAACCACAGAAAGAGAGAATGAAGAGGAATACACAAGAACTTGATGATGGTAATGATTGTTAAATACTTAACAAGGAAAGCTAGAAGACTCAAAAGATTTGGTGTTTTATAACATTACCGGACCCCAGTTAAGAATGATTTAGACACAGTGTTGCCACATAGGACATTTGTCAGATTGATAGATACAAGCTTTGTGGGTAAATATATAAGACTGAGCACCAATTAGAGAGTAGGGTAGTTTGGAAGAAAATCTGCAATTTAGGTATTTTTCCGACACCTGCCCTCATCCACTGAATTGAATATCTATCAGTTTAAGTGAAGCACTGAATTGAGGTCTTGCTGAAAGCCAAAATAAAGTTTATCATCATTTACACTAGTTAATAAGAGTTTGCTAATGAAATAAAAAATTATTCCCAACATACTATTACAGGGAGAAGGAACACTTATTGAGTAGCCATTATTTGTAAGACAATTTTAACCATTTATTCCCTCTTTGATGAGGCAAATAATAACATCTCCATTTTAGAGAAGGAACTGAAGCTCAAAAAGGTTCTGATATTTCCAAGATTATACAGCCAAGAAGTAGAGAGAGGACTGGGAGCACAGGCCTCTCTGCCCTCAAACCCATCCACCGTCATTTTAGTATAGCAATGCCCTGCCAGGGCTGGGAACGACTCTCCAAAGGCAGCAATACAGCCACCTATTAGCAGAGACCCTACCCCAAAGAAATTTCTCTGCTATAGGCCAACCTGTATCAACCTGTCTGTCTAGAACCCTTTTTGCCTTCAAGAGATACAAGGATATTTCACTTTTTCAAAATTAGCTTATATACGATTGGTGACAACAAATGCAGTTGGTGGCAAATCTAAACGAGTAGGCCCATTGGGAATCACTTTTTCTTCACTTTCCCTCTCTCACTAACATGTTATACACAAAGAAGCACAAAAGAGTAGAAATAGAAATAGAAGATGGAAAACTCATATTCAAGAAGCGGTTCTACTTGGAAATAGTAAGCTCTTTATTTTTATTAACTTGTTTAATTTCCATTTTCATCTCGGCAAAGTTGAAGCAGTCTTTTCTAATAAATTGACAGGTCTAAAATGTCTGGCTTTTTGTTGAGAAACAGTTAAACTAGAAGCAAAAGCTGTTCAGCCCTGAGCAGTAACCCCTTAGCTCAGAATAGGAATCTGGGACTGGTACAGAACTGGAGCTTCCATTAATAAAAAGGTCCAAAGTCTAACTATGGGTAATTTTTCTCGAACATTTTAATCTGGGTTGGACACCAGACCAGTGAGACCCAGGCCAAAAGAGGGCAGTGAAGACCAGAGAATGAAGGTAAGGAACACTCTAATGCTGGCTGGGTGAAGGGGACCCAAGACTCTCATGGACTTAGCTTCCCTTTGGATTTCCATCTCAGTCTTAGTTAATATGACACAGAAGAATCAAGAAATGATAGAACAATGGTTTTCTCAGCAAGGCCTATTTCTGGGGCTGCATAAACATTAATCCTTCCTCCTGGTCTGAACAGATTCAGGTAGTCAGACTTGTCCCCCAACAACTCAGTGGTCAGAGGGGTTCCATTCCTAGATAAGCTAATTTCCTCCAGGGCCCCACTGAAGGAGTGCCACTTTAAAGGTAGAGTTCTCTCAAAGAAATCTGTGGATTTAACAAGCTGTAATGCTCTTTCATTATACCTACAAATATGTAACAGGAACTACATTTGGTTTAAGATCTCCTGTCAAAATACGTTCATCAGTTTTAAGAACTATTAGGAAAAAATGCAATATCTAAGATGACATTCAGATTTCCTTTTGTTTTCTTCCCCTCTCCAACACCTCCATCTATCTGCCTACCAGATATAAGACGTTTACAATTTCAGGGAAAGAACTGAAAGCATTTGTTAAATCTCATTTTAATTTTCATTTTGTTCAGTACTTTTGACACCCAATGTTTCATAAACCCAAGGAAAATTCCTGATTTTTTTTTCTTGTTTTCTGTAAATCTACTCTAAAACTAGATTAATTTCTATTTCAGAATTTACTTTAGAGTGAGGTTTATCCATGAACTATTCTAAAACACTGGAAAAGGACACTACACACATCTTGATCTTAAGTACATACCTTATAACCAAGTGCTTTTAATTCACTTGCAGAGCAAGGATACAAATCCATGAACTTGTATCTATCTACTAGTAAAGCTGTTTCTTTGCCTTCATACTCTTCTTTGAATGCTGTAAACCGTCTTTTCTCCACTTTGAGTATACTGGCTAGATCACCAATATTACTTTCAAAAGCTAGAAATCGGGCCCAGATTTCTCTGTAAGAAAATAAATACAATCAATACTTAATTATTCTGGGTTTGGGGCAGGGGGTCCATTTACAAACAAGCCTTAAGTTTCCCCTCTTCCTTTTTTTAAATTATAAAAGTCTCTTCTTTATTATAAGGATTTCCAAACTATAGAAAAATAGAATAGTATAACAAATACCTACCTATATACATCATTACCTAGATTTAATCAGTGTTAATATTTTGCCATATTTGCTTCATCTTATTTTTGCTTAAGTATCTGAAAGTAAATTATAGACATCGTAACATTTCATCTTAAATACTTCTGTCCTAATGCCCTTTCAGTTTTTACTTATTTAGCATATCTCCCTATCATTTGTGGTCAATAAGAGAGATATTTATCCTAGAGAGGGTAAACTCTAGGTGGAAGAGCTGAAAAATGAACCTGGACAGATTTCCAATTTCTCCTGAATTAATGTGGCTTTACCATTTTGCTGAGTGATATGAATTAAAATGTAGAATACATTCTTTGTTCAATGTATGGATAAAAATATAAGTGCTCTCTATTTTTACCCATTGATATGGATTATTGGAGATAAATTTGGGCCTCACTGCTATTTTAATAGCCAAACTCTACTTAAGTGTCATTAAGCACCTTTGTACCAAAGTAATATACTGAGGATCTATTATACACCAATTATAAGACTATCACAAAAATCCTACATTTGCAGATACTATTGTTATTTGATGAGAAAGTACGAGTTGGCAAGGTTTTGAGATCTGGCCAAGGTGTAGTTGGCTAAGCTGGAATTTGAACCCACCCCAAGACTCCAGAGTCTTACTATTCCCACTGTACCACTATTCCATGTTGTTCCTGTCTGGTAAAAATGACAGTCAAAACCATAAATCAGGGATATAATGTGTCGAAGAAACTTTCAATAGTCTTTGCTCTTGAGTAAGGGAGGTAAACATCTCAGTACACTTTTCAATGTGTCCATATCAATTTCTAGGAATATAGTAAACTAGTAAAATATATTAAAATAAATAATAAATTCCTACGGTATCTCTCAAAACAATTCTAATCGGTATGCAAAAACTAAAAAAAAATTAAACAGGTAGGAAAATATTGCAGGTAGGAATCTATTAAGTTAAGCTTCAAGAGAGAGAGAACTTTCTCCTGAAACTTATACTCAACCAGCAAACGTTCATCCCATAGATCACAATTTAAGTATTCAAGCCACCATTAGAACCTGACCGACAAATTTTCACAATGGCTTACCCTGACTTTTCAGGAGGAAGGCTTCCAGATGTTAAAACTCGTTCAAATAAAACTCGGGTATTATTGTCCTCTAGGATAATAAAGTTTTTAAATATTAAAAAATTCAGTTTTACAATTCAACAGTATATTTGCACAGGCATTATCTCATTTAATCCTATGTAGAAAGGTAACTATTATTACACCCAATTTTTATAGATGAGGAAACCTGAAGTTCAAAAATGTTAAGTGAGTTTACCTGGCTCGCTGTTACTGAGAACAGAGCTATAACTAGAAGCCAGGTAGTTCAGCCCACCTCAGTATATTGTAGTTATAATATCAAACGATTTATAACAATGTGATATCTGAACCAGGCATCCCATTTTCCTTTTAAAAATAATGAAAGTTATGTATCTGCTGCCATTATAAGTGTCAGACTATTGATATTTTTTAAATACACTGACTGTGAAGCATGGCAAGCTCAAATTTAGACACAGTTAAGTTTCTTATTTTACATCACCAGGACTACACTATATTTAGCTTTAAATTCTCGTATAGGTATGATAGATCTAGATTGGCAGATAAATATGCAAAGGAAAAGTGAATTAATAATGGTCACCAAAAATGGATTAAAACTTGAGTGTTGAGAGGTCCTCTATAGCTTGAAGTGGGAAAATGATACTTTTTGCTAAGTTCTAAGGGATCTATTAAAATTTAAGACTACAGCGGTAAATTTACTAACAATAATTAAATAATATATTTAAAATGAGTGCATTTATGGTATATAAATTACACCTCAATAAAGTTGTTTTTAAAAAAAATCCAGCAGAGTGGTTGCATTTATTGCTTCAGGGCAGTTATTCAATTTTACTATATGTCCACATACAAAGTAAAACCAAGAGATTAAAATGGTACTAAATATGTATTTAAAATGTACTGAATGTATTCTGTATTGCTCCAAAGAAGATGGCACCATATTCATGGTTTTCATCTTAAACTTTAAAATACTGATTTAAAAAATAAGTAAATCTTGCATTTTATTCTTTTGCTTTGTTCCAAGCTTTGCTCCAGACACACTTTTTACCATTCCACATAACTGCTTATTATATGCTGTGTTCTCTGCCAGGAATAACGTATTTTCCTATATCTTTACCTGGCTAACTAATGCTCACCCTTCAAGACCCATCTCATGTCCCTTTTCTATGACATCCTCTAGAAAAGCACTGTCCAAAAGAAACATAATGCAAGCAATATATGTAATTTAAATTTTTTGCTAGCCACATTTAAAACAGTAAAAACAGACAAAATTAGCTTTAATTATTTTATTTAACCCAGTAGATCTAAATTATTATCATTTCAACATATAATCAATATGAAAAATTAAGATATTTTATATTCTTTTTTTCATACTAACTCTGAAATCTGTTATGTATTTTACACTGTACCACATTTCGTCTTGGCCTAGCCACATTTCAAGTGCTCAATACTCTCTAGTCTACTGGCTGCCCTAATTGCACAGCACCACTGCAGAACTTAAACTCTCCTCTCTGTGCTTCCAAAGTACTTCATTCAGGACTCTGCTACAGTGTTTAGTTTTTTTTCACAACTGCTACAATCACCATAAACGGTTAACATTTATAGTATGCTTACCATATTCCACATATAAGACAACACATGCAAAAACTTATATAAACCTCTCAACAACTATATGAAACGTAGTCTTTCTATGACCCTTCTGCTGATGAGAAACCTGAAACAAGTTTATACACCTAACCCCAGAACTCTAGCTGCAATGAAGTACCAAATGATGATGTAATTATGTTTACACATTTGATTCTCTCATGAGAATGCTCTGAGAGGAAGAATGAAGTTCTATTCACATTTGTATTTCCAAACACTAGCAATCAGAAGGTACTGAATAAATGATGAATAGATGAGTAGATGTATAAATGAATGAGTGAACTAAGACACAGATTTTCGAAGACAATAATGCTGACATCAGATATCAACCTCATTTTTAGAATAGCAAATATATATGCTAGTAACTATTCTAAAAACCAAGCAAAATAAAATTGGTGAGGAACATTAATTTCATATAAAAAAAAATGTTTAATTAAGTGCTCCACTGTCTCACTTTTTGGAGTTAAGTCCTTTTCCAGAGTGTAGAATCACTAAGCTGAAATACAAAATCATATTTAAGCTTTATTCTTTTCTACTATTTGGGTATACAGAATGCTATATATTTTTAAAAATATCATTAAAATCATTGATATATACCTGTGATATTTAATTCTATAATCATTTACATGGTACATAATTGTAAATTTCTTTCTTAAACCAATTTTTATAACAGATCACTTTAGTCAAGAAATCACATCTCCTGGGCTATGGATAACTAGACTAAATGAGATATATACATGTATATATGAATCCCTTAGCACAGTGCCTCGTATAAAGTAGGAACTCAATAAAGGATGGCCATTACTATTATCACAACAGGATAAGGAAATAAAAATAAAAATGGTAATAAACATAATCTTTGTTTTTGAAATATCTTCTCCAGTAGCCTCACATCATTTTATTTTACTACTTGGGCATCTTTGAGTTTTGGTGGCTAGAGACTTTTTTTGTTTGTCCTGTCCTATCACCCCTCGCCATTTCCTCCAGGCTGTACACAAGAGATGATTTGCCCAGAGTCATCAGGGATGAGCATCAACAACTCTGTGTTCCCGACTCTAAATCTGTGGCTTTATCCTACTACTTATGGGATTTTATTGATGATGCATTAACCATTCTGCAGAGTCAAAAGCCTCCTACCATTACTCAATAAATATAAGTTCATGGTTGATAGGCCACAAATATTTCTTGAGTGCCTATCAAGTGCCTGGTTCTGGTATGATGACATAATAATAATACACTCAAGAAGGAAAAAAACCACCAACATAATTTCAGAGAATGATATTAATGATTTAATATTATGTAACCATTATAGATCTAGAATCTACTTACCATTGAGGTGAGAAAGATAGTCAATATAGGCCAGAACATATTCTGGAATGTCTCCATATTTCTTTAGCCCCAGCTCAAAAATCTTAAAGGCAACAGATTTGTCCTAGAAGTAGAGAGGAAAATACTGATTTCCATGAAATATCAGACAAGATATTCAAAAGGATATTAAAACTATAACACCTAAATATGACAAGATACATTAAGAATGAAAATGGAAATTAAAAACATGCTAAACAAAAATTGCAGAGCTAAAAACCATTCAAGGGGGTTTAGATTCAGAAATATGGTGTTTAATAAAGCATAAATTAGAATTAGCAGGCAGTGGGGATTTAGATGATGTTCCATGTAACTGTACACAGATACACTTAGACTTCCCTTATGACATGAACAATTAAAGCTTAATGACAGAAACTAGGACTACTTTTCTTTTAATGAATGTATGTCAGATGATGGAAATTATTTTACCTTTGTATTTTATTTCAGTACTTACCTTACTACAGTAATACTCCATAAGTGCTGCAGTAACATAGACATGGTGGCGGGTTCTGGTATCTTCTCTCGCTTTTTTAAATATCATTCTTCCAGATTTGATACCTTCTGCTCTCCTTGCAAATTTCATGTACTGGATATATACCTACACACAAAAAAGCACTTGTTTTCGATAACTTAGCAGAATTCGATCCCTGTAGCATCTAATACGGGCTCACCTTACTCCTATACAAATAGGTTTTCTGTATAAGAATTAAGCAATCTTGACTACCCAAGAAATCAGAAATTAAGATTATAGATATTGCACTACTTAAATCCACAAGCAAAATTTTTCTAGTATTAAAGAGGCATGCAAATTAATTTTTAAATATTGAGATATAATTCACATACCATGAAATTTGCCATTTCAAGTATATAATTTGTTAAATTTTTTTTAGTATATTTACAAGGTTGTACAATCAACACTACTCTTTAATTCCAGATCATACAAATTAAATTTTAAGGAGGAAATAAAAGTGCAACTACTGTAAAACACTCCATTAATGAATGCTAATACCTAGAGAACTCATTTTTATCTAATACAAGCATGTTTAACAACATATGTTTAACTTCACATTTTCTTGGTTTATTGCTTTAAAAGCCCACTACTCTCTTTTCCAGAGACCATATAACCTTATTAATAAACTATGAGCCATTTTATACTCAGGACAACACAAATGAGTATGCAATATTTGTTCAACAAACAAATGTCTCTGGATGATAAGTAGGATGATTATGAGCAGGGTCCTGATTTGCCTGGTTTTGATGATATCAAACTATGTTGCCCAATTCTGATAAATGAATGGATAAATGAACTATGAGTTCCTAGAGGAAAGAAATTTTAACTAATATGTCACTACACTGCTAGAATCTATAAATGCTATTAATTAGAGCAGCATTAATAAATGCCAGCAATTAGGGCAGTGGAATGCCAGTATAAACAAGCAAGAAGGCAGTATACTTGTAGCTGCCTTGAAGCAAAGGGTCTAGATCCCCATGCATTGGCCTGTCCTCCTCCCCTTCTAATAAAATATCCACCTTAGTTTTACAGAAACTCGGGTCTTTAAAAAGCACTATTACAGAGCAGAATTTAGGATAAATTGAGTTCCTGTCCAATCCCTTTCAGGATGCTGGTTTCTACTGCCTCCATTTATTTAATAAGAAATATTTATTAAGCAACAATTATGTGGCATAAATGGCTTCAAACCATGATCACAAGGAAGGTGTTAGATAGAGAAAACCCCACTGCAGCTGTTTCATATTGCTGCATTGAAAAAAAAATCAAGCAGAGAACAGGTCAGTAATTGTCAGGGGTTAGGAGAGAGGAAGGGTTGACTACAAAGTGGTCACATGAAGGAATTTTTGGGAGTGATCAAAGTGTTTTATATCTTAATTGATGGTGGTCCCCTGACTCAATGTTACCGATCAAGACATAGAACTATACAATAAGAACAGTGAATTTTATTGCATGTAAATAATTTTTTGTTGTTATTAAAGCAGACTGCAAAGGTGGGAAAGAGATTCATAAAGTTACTCACCAAGGTGGGGTCAATATCCTCAATGGCCAGAAGTCTGTTATATATACTGTGAACTTTCTCATACTTCATGCGACTCTAAGGTGGTAGAGAAGAAGTGGATATAAATATATACTGTAAACAAGCAGGATTTGAGCTCTGAGGAATCCAGAGGCTGCACCCCCAACGGCACCTGCTTTGAGCATAAACATAATAAGCTGAAGCCCAATAAGCATTCATTTTGCATCATCTCAGTCTACCAAAAGCAATACGCTCAGCAAGATGCAGCCAGCAAAAAGAAAAAAAAATCAGTGCTGCAGTAAAAAATCCAATTATAAGAAAGTTCTAAATATTTTTACTCACCTCTTCATAATCTGCATATGCAAAATAAAGAAGCATATTCTTCTTTAATAAAGTGCTTATGGCTCTTTCATATATATTAGCAGCTTCATCACTAAATAATTTGGCATTATTCATATCCTAGGAGAAAAAAGGAAAAGCTCACTCTCAATAACTTTAATATAACTCAGAGAATAAAATACACACTAATTATATACATATATAGGAACATGTATACATTTCTGGATTCTAAAAATGTTTCAGAGACTTCTTCCATTATTTTAACAGAAGAATCATAAAGTACTCTAAATGATTCGTCACTTTAATACATTAAAAAACAGCCACTGTATTTTAATTCTGACTAAGGAAGTCTAATCATGTAAGAGTGTCACTAAGATTCATATTGACATAAATTAAAGTTTTCAACACTCATCCTTTATTATCAAAATTCAGAGTTCTATTTTTAACAAATTATTACTATACCAAAACCATGAAAAGACCAAAAGGAAGCCAAAGGAATACTTACCCCTTTCTCTGCGAGCAGTTTACTTGATTGCTCAAGATACTGGGCGGCTTCATACCAAATATCAGGGTGATGGCCCAGCACGAGCAGGCACTGTTCATAAGCAAACATAACTAAGGAAGACAGTCACAAAATTCAATTAAAATAAATATTATATATGAAATTATCAATATAAGCATCACAACTAAATTATTAGGCTAAGATAGGGCCCTCAATAATGAATAATAATTAGAAATAAAAAGTTTTAGTGATTTCTTATACCATCATCCACCCAAGCCCCTTCCATCCATCATTTATTAAGTTAATATATATTGAGCACTAACTATATGCTAGGAATGTGAAAGACACTATGAAAACAACAATGAATAAAACTTCCTACACTCAAGAAGTCTGCAGTATATTGAAAAGATCAACATTAAGAAAGCAATTATAAAAAGTAATAAGTATTGTGATGAGGAAAGTACAGCGTACCCTTGAAACTTACAGCAGCAGGACTTAACATAGTTTAGGGACTCAAGAAAGGCTTCACTAAGGAACTGACATCTAAAGCGAAACCTGAAGAAGGGATAGAAGCTGGTCAGATGAAAGAGTAAGTGGAGTGTAGGAAGGACAGGAGTAGATACAAAAATGGTGTAGGAAAAAACAAAAACAAAAACAAAAAACAACCAAACCAAACAAACAAACTAATAAAAAACCAGTATTTCCAAAGGCCTATAGGTGAGTGAACAAGGCAAGATTGAGGAATTTTTAAAGTTCCAAATTCTAGTTCTGGCAGTGGCAGAGTAGTTTATATCAGATTAAATCTCCTGAAAATAAAAATCATAAACCGTAAAACACAAAAAGAAACTATTTAAAGGCAGTGGAGAATGACCAAAAGATACAGAAACCAGAGATGATTCAGCCTTTAAAAACTTGGAACCACACTAGATGAAAGCCATACTTAATGTGGCTTTTCCCCTCAAAGGCACACCATGTGTGTACAGTTTTGGGATAACTAGACTCAAGTCTTACTGGCTAGAGGTAAGTAACATAGAGTTCTGAGCTACAGGAACAGCAGTAAATTAAGGGGAACCCCCAAAAGAGAGAGCCACAGAAGGTGGAACATAAAAACCTGGGCATAAACACCCTCAAATCTTTAGTTGACCCCTAGAATCTTTGTATGTAAATGGGAAAGATTACAAAGAGCCCAAGCAGAAAGCAAAGCAGGAAGGCTGAAAGAGCTGAACAGATATCTCAGTAGCTGCCCACTGTAATGGAGACCAAGTTTGGAATCTCAGTCCCATCAAGTTAGAGGGTCTAGGTAAATACCCTGTACTTTCCATTATGTCTTAGGAGTAAAGACTATGTCCCAGACTAAGAGATTTACCTTGAGATTAAGGGTAAAACTAAAACTCATCTTAAAAGTATAAAACCAGCCATCATAAGGTCCAGGTGATCTGCCAATAATTTAACTGCCTGCTAAAATAAAACTCAATATTTTTCGGAGGAAGATAACAAAATCAAGTCTACAATGTATCATTAGTGTATCTGCACGAAGTCCAAAAGAAAAATTTAAATGTCAAGATTTGTGACAAAACAGGAAAATGTGACCCATAGTCAAGAGAAAAAGAAACCAATCCCATGATGGCCTAGATGTTGAAATTAGCATGTGAGGATTTTATAACTACTGTTATAAATATGTTCAAGGATTTAAGAAAAAGATAGTAATGGACACAGAATTGCAAAAGAGAAAAGGAAACTATAAAAAAAGAACCATAAAAAAATACAAATATTTCTAGAATGAAAATTTATAGAACTAAAAAGTAAAATATCTGAAATGAAGAACTCACTAGATGGGCTTAACAACAGATTGGATATATAAAATAAAGGTCAGTGAACATGGAGATAGATCTATAGAAATTTTCAGTCTGAAGAGCATAGAAGAAAAAAAGATTAGGGTTAAAAAATAATTTTGCTAACTTATGGAATAATATCAAGTGGCCTAACATACATGTAATTGGAGTTCCAAGAGAGTTAATCTTATTACCTCTTTTTGTTATAAGGGTCTGATCTTCTGTACGAAGAGGGTTGCTCTTTTCCCACTGTATGTATTTCTTCCACATGTCCACCTGCTGAGCTTCTTGAGGAGTATTCTGAGGAGGCACCGAGGGAGCATTGCGGTCCAAACCTTTCATTACCGTCTCATATTCCTAGACAACAGGCATTTAGAATTCTGTAGTGAGCATGAGAATAGCTCAGATATACAGGATGAAGGTGATTAGTTTGGAATACTTTGTTTCTTCCAAATACCATTTTGTTAATATAATCTAAAAACTATTTAAGAGATGGGAGAAAGATAACAGAGGATTACTTACCTAAGAACAGGTTATAAAGACTATGTGAATAGAACATCCCTGGGTCCTCTCTACCAGTGATCTAGGAGGTCACTCTCCAGGACAGAGGAGTTGACAGACCAACATGACAGATGGTCTTGTGCCATCATGACTGCCATCTTTGGAGAAACTATCTGTCTTTTTAAATTTAAATAGTTTATATTACTAGGTTATTTTCCCTAACTTCTCACAGTGTCAATGAATAAAAAGGAATGCACGAGAGATAAAAATCTGTCCCTGAGAGCTGTGTTATTAGACAACAGAGTTGTACAGCATTCAGATATGTACGAGCAAATAGAAGGGAAGGATAAAAACTACTTTATCAATTCTAGTTAGAACCTTGTCCCTATTATGACATATTTCTATATTTTAAAAAATAATTTCTTCCAAACTTGATTTATTCTATTTTGTCCTTTAACATGTCTGTAAAGAGGTATTTCATTTCAAATACATCATCCACTCAGACAATGTAATTGTCATTATTTAAAATGGCTCATGATTGAAAATATTGACTTATACCACACAGAGAAAGCTCTTGTGTAAACAACATACTCATAACAATCATTAAAATATGTGGCCTAATAGAATTTCATACCTTTGCTACACGCCTAGCATTCATATAATCTCTACTCCGATCTTCAATCATTTTTTTAGCTAAATGAATATTGATACCCTAAAAAAGAAAGAAAAATATATATTATTTTAAAACTAAGTATATTTTAATATTATCACAATAGAATTAATTTATTCATTTATTAAAGTACTTTAAATTCTTTACTTTAAATGATTTTTTGGTTAGTAAACTAAAGGTTCAATCATATTATGCTTCAGAGATCAAAGAAGGTGTGCTTATGTCTGTTATGAACTGGCAGTAAATTTCCACATACCAGGAATTTCTCAAGATAAGGAATGATTTGGAAAGGATCAATTATTTCATGTAAAATTCTACTAATAAAGAATGATGTACAGATTCATCTGGGTGAATAGTCATGGCTTAGCTCTAAAAGTTCTTTTTTAGCTAGGTCTGCATAACTTGAAAAATAAGTGCAGAGGTACTAACAAGACATAAAAAATATCACTCCTGTCTAGCAGTTTTCTAACAGCAGTCCAAGGATTGCTGATCCCCAAGACCCTTTCGGGGGAAGGGGTGTCAATGAGATGAAAACAATTTTCATATAGTACTAAAACGTTATTTGCCTCTCTTACAAATATATAGTGAAGTTTTTCAGAGGCTACATGATTTTCAATATCATAACTGATGAAATTTAGAAGGAGATATAAAAATCTACTTATCTTCTATTAAGCTAGATATTAAAGAAATTTGCAAAAATACAAAACAATGCCACTCTTCTCACTAAGTTTTTTCTTCTTTTGGCAAATACAGTTTGTTTTAATGCTATTTAAGTTAAAATGTAATAGTTTATTATTGTAAACTTTAAATGAATTAGTAAATATCTTAAAAATTAATCAGTTTTAACTCTAATATATTAAATTTGTGGTCTTCGAAAATGTTTTAAATCCCAAGACCAAAATATAAGAGAACCACTGCTTACGCCTATGAGGGGATGGTTTCAATACTCTACATAGTTCTTCCAAATCACAGTGGACATATGAGGAACTTTTTTATTGATGGAGTTTATTTGGCATGCATGTTTACGTATTTAGCTCAGTTGGTTAAAGCATATATTAATGAGGCAAAAATCTTGGATTGCAGCTCCAATAGTCACAAACGCAAGCCAATAATCATTGTAACTAGGTAAAAGGGGTGTATTGCAACTGATTGTTACTATTGGAAAAACAATTCTAAAACGGTACCATTTCATAAGAGATCAATGGCAATGTATGTGTATGATTGTGTGTGTATAGTTTAGCGTTGAATAAAAATGGTTTTGTAAGAATTATAATTCTTCCAGAGTATTCTCTAAAAAATAACTCAACGGTAAAATGAGACTCTCAAAACCTTGCAAAAATATCAGTAGTTCTTTCACTACAATCAGTGTAAAAACAGACATGTGCATCACTGATACCCAGGTACCTGATACAAGAAAGGCTAGAATCCACAAATCCACAATGCATAAAAATTAAAATGGCTTGGTTATAATAACTAGTCTGGCCTGATTTACCTCTTCATACTTGTTATAGTCTCTCCAGAGTTGTTCAATGTTGATCATTGGATTAACACAACCCCGCTGATAAACTCTTCGGACAGCTGTGATTCTCTGATTTTCTGCATAAGATCCAACAGCTTCCCTGGTGTTCAATAAAAAATGCCATCAATTATATTATAGCTAAATCAACTCTGCACACTGAAAAAAAAACTATAAAAATACTTACACGCCTTTTAAGAAATTGATGTAATCTACCCAAATCTAAAAAATAAAATAAAATATTAGTATTTTTCTTGACATTTTCAAATTTATTTATATATTTATTCAAAAATTTTTAACTCTACCTGATAAGACATAATTTCCATTCCAATTTTATCCAATGCAAAGTCATATGCTTGAGCCATTTTTTCCCTGAAATAAATGAGATGCTTTTTTAAAATTATATTTGTTATCAAAATATATCTACAACTATAATTATAATCATAACTTCTCATCATATGATCAGAACAGCATTTGAACCTTTTGTATATATAAACAAGAATGTAAAGACATCTTCTTTTGTTTAGCTTGTCGGTGTCATTAATTTATATACTTTATTTCTTTTACTGACAGCTTGTGAGCTCATTAACAATAAAGCCCAGATTTTAACTTATCTTTATATCCTTAAAATTGCCTAATCTTATATGTAGCAGAGTAATATGTGAAAATATCTGATTTAAGGAGGTAAGTTGTATCTGAAGATCTATTAGCTCTGAAGTAAAATTTAGAAAGAACTTCTCTAATATAAGAAAATAAAGGATAATGAGGAAAAGATAGAATTCTATTTATAGAAATACTTGCCTCTTTGTTATATGTAAAAATAGCATTTGAGAAGGGCCATTATTTAGATTCAGCAAAGATAGATGGGCAGGTGCAACTCATAGCAGGGAGATTACATAACAAGAATTGTCAAAGATGCCTTGGAATACTAAAGTAGCACATTGCTTGGTAACCTGCTAAGAGTGGTGCCATGACAAGTAATAAGATGCTTTTTATTAAATCTGATAAGCCTGTCAACAAAGTGATTTGGTGTGGCGAATGTTCAGAGTTTGAATATAGAAGAGGGGCTTGGATGATTCAGTTCTCCAGAATAAGACTAATGCCAGTGGCTTTTTTAAAAAAATATTTTTCCCAAAGTTTACTGACAGTCTCTTTCCTCATGGAGTTAAGAGAAGGTGTGAATTACAGAGGGATTAACTGTGTGCCCAGGGAGACCTGCATTCTTAAGATCCTGATTTAACTTACTTGTAACTTGGAAGTTTGCCCTTGGTTTCTCGAACATATGAAAGATAACACTTCCATAAATCAATGTGCAAAACCTTCATAAGGCATCTCTGAAATAGCTATAAGTACAAGAAAATATCAGAACCCACAGGTTAAATTTCACATGTACATGGGTGAAATGGAACGTTAAAAAAATAAGTTTTGCTCCATTCATGAATTTATCTTGCAAATCAAAGGTAAATAACAACTACTTCCTCTTTCCTATTTTTAGATAATCAAAATCATTCTCATTATTTTGGTCAGTAGACTATAATCACTTTTGTTTTCTTTCCCAAAATTTTTATTATGAACATTTTCAGGCATACAAAAAAGTTGAATAAGTACAATGAACTCCTATATAATCACTATCTAGATTCAAAAAATTAATATTTTACTATAGTTGCCTCATATATGGTAAGCCCCAAGTTAAACTTCAGCATAATATTCAAAGTATATTTTAATAAGACTCACCTTTTCAACCTTGTCATAATTTTTAGCTTTAATCTAAAGGGAAACAGAAAAATACAGGATTAACATTATTCTTTTTAGAGTGTTAAAATACTACCTCTCAGTTTTTTGACTAATCTTGTAAATTCATCTCTATACCTTCCTATTAATTCTACTAGAAGTTTGAACCCAACATGGACATATGCATTGTAAATATGACTTATGCAAATCAATCTTATATTAATAGATTTTCATATATTATGTTGAAATTTTATGAATTTAAAATTTTGTAAAATAGTAAACAAGATGAATACAGATATATAAGGCATAGGCATAGTGCGGCAGGAAGAAATTGCTCATTTTGACTACACAAAAATGTTTGTCACTCAGGCAAACTACTATATTCCAGGCACTGGGGCTACCAGTGAACAAAACACATATAGTCTGCCCATGTTCTCATTGAGCTTACAATGTTATGGGGAAAATAAGTGCCAAGGTGGGGGAAGTACAGGGTGAAATGGGAGCATTCAGGAGGAGCAGAAAACTCAGACTTGAATATTTGCAAAAGATTTCCTGAAAAAAGTTAAGATGTTAAGGATGGGATGTTGTACTGGTAAAGAAAGGGAGTATTCTGGATAGGAAGACTGGCATGCACAAAAACCAAGGTTAAATACTACTAGATTTCCTTTTCTCTTGAGTATTTTCATTGGATGGTAGGTGGGATTAGTTGCTCAATTGTGATATGTCAGCAAATCTTTGTTTCGCCCTGATAGGTGAATAATTTGATTGGTTAGAAAAATCTTGGCTTATGGTCCTTTTCTCTCAGTAGTATATATAAATGTGTCCACTGTTTACTGGCTTAAGATGCTACAGAAGAGCTCTGACGACAGTCTCTTTTGCTGATAGTCTGTTTACTCTTTGCCTAGGGAATTTGTAAGATTTACCCTTGGTCTTCAGTTCATACATTTTCACAGGAAATGACTAAATATAGGTCTTGGTCGTTTGAAGCAGTTTAGTCAAGGCTCTAGAGTCAGACCCCTTGGGTTCACATTCTGACTATCCACTTAATCTCTTTTTTCCTCATCTGCATAAGGAGGATAATAGTACCTATTTTGTAGGGCTGCTGTAAGGACTCAAGTTAATAAATGTGAAGTCATTAGAACACTGCTTGGTAGAGTGAGCACTTATAATTATCATTTATTATTATTACCACAAATTCTTCCTGTAACTCACCATGCCCTTTGAAGCTAGACTCAGGTCTTTTTCAGCCCAAGAATTTTCTTATAAAAATTATTGCCTCTCTCCCACCTGTTCCATTTTTCCTTTTAAAACTCCTATTACACACATTACGTTTCCTTATTCTATCCTCAAACTCTATTATTTTTACACTTTCTTTGAATTTTGCTCTAGGTTCAAAAATAGTTGTTCTGCTAGATTTTTTAAGCCGCCTAGTTTAAGTCTCCATGTCACCATTCTCTTTAATTTGATCTATTGCTGTGATTGGTTTAAAAATAATGGTTTTTAGTTTGAATGTTTTTTAATACTGCACTTTCAATCTCTCTATGTTCATACTATCTTGTTCAAGTTATTGTCTCTCTCCTGCAGCAGCTCCATTTTGTTGGGGGCCTATCCCGACGATTTTATATTCCTTTCTTGTTGCTGGATCCTTAGCTGTGCAGTTATTTTTTTCTGTCTATACTCTGAAACTCATTACTGGCAGTCTTAGAGTAGCAGTTGATCCCTTCTTTCCCATGGAGCTATATAGCAGGTATAGACAGAAAAGTGGCTGTTGGTAGTCCTCTGACAAAGAACCAGAAAGAAATCTTTGCTCACGGGGAAGGAGGACTCAGCCTGCCTGATGTTCACATTCCTCTGAGGGAGAAAGGCAGTCGAGAGGTTCCAAGTATTTCTGTGGGTCAGTTTCTTACACCTTGTCTTAGGCTCTCCACCAGCCCTATTCTTTGAGATAGCCATACACCTGAGGTTTCCCTGCATCCAGCTGCTTGGCTGAACAGAAGTAAATAGGTTGAGTGGGAATGAAGTAAGATGAGTTCAAGCCACCAGCTTCCCAAATGCAATGACAGATTACATATAGTTCTTAAAATAGGCCGGGAAAACCAAAACTACTCACTGGGAAAACTGGCAAAGAATATGAATAGGCAATTTCCAGAAGAGAAAATGGAAATGGTTAAAAATAATATGGCAACATGTACAAACTTACAAAATGGGAAAAACAAATTAAAATAATAGATGTCGATACCAATCAGAATGGTAAAAGCTTAAAAGTGTGTTAACACTACTGAAGCAAAATGAGTAAAAGGAATGTCACACATTGCTGTAAGAAATATGAATTATTTTGGCCTTTATGGAAAGCCATTGGCAAAAGCTATTCAAATAAAAAATACACATCTTTTAACCCAGCAATTCCCCTGGAATCTACCCCCAAAGAAATAAAAGCACTAGGATATAAAGGTGTTTGTACAAAGTTATTTACTGCAAATTTTCTAGCAGCAAAAAGTTCACAAAGTAAATGTCCACCAAGAGAATGGTTTGGTAAATTACAGTGCATCCAAATCATGGAATATTATATACCCATATAAAATTAATTAGGACTGTAAGAGGTAGTTTGGAGAAATTCCTACTTTATTAAATGAAAGAAAATAAGAATGTATATAATATAATCCATTTCTGTAAAATGATAATAAAAAATGAATCTTATTTATATATATGTTTATATATGATTTTGTGAGCATGGAGAAAATATGGATGACACATTAAGTTGTTAACATAGTTATGATGGGCAGAGTTCTATGGGTGGAAGATGGAACAGAGACAACAGACTGTCCTTCATCTATGATTTCATTTATACATTTCAGTAAAAATTATATCTATATATATGTAAGAAATATAAACCAAAAAGAACTTTGTTTCTTTCCTACACAAAATGGTCCTATATCTTGGATTCATCAATTATTTATTACTTCAATTGGTATTGGTTCACATGTAGAAAAATATTTTTGACTAACACAGGAAGTCTCTGGCCTTGAATACCTGGCCACTGACTGTCATTCATTAATTCTATCAATAAATATTCTTTGACAGCCCCTTTATAGAGCCTATACTGGTAACATTACCATAACAGGTACAATCTCATTATTTTTAAACATCATTCAATTTTTAAAGATATCACCTGCTTTGGAGCAGTGTGATAAATGAAAACAATTTGATCACATTGAAGTAACTACTGAATGTCTCTCAGCATCAGTGTTCTCACTTATAAAATGGAAATGATAATAACTACTACAAACAATTTATCAAAGATCGAAAAAAAAATAAAGCATCTTGATATTCCAAATGCTCATAAATCATACTAATTAACAAAATTACAAACCAAAGGAGTATGAACTTGTCATTATATCTTCTCTAAACAGAGCTATGTAAATCAAGTAGCCACAAAGAGCAATGTTATTATAATTTACCCCATTAGAGAAAAGCAAAGGTTATGCTGCAGGTTATATTCAAATTCCATTATTGTGAAACAAGAACATGTGAACACCCTTCCTTTGGTTACCCTACTACTACTCCATTTTTCTTCTTTAAAAGAGTATTATTCTAGGTATTGTTTACTAGTATTCATGTAAAAATATCTTAAGCTATAAGTTAAATATTCTTAAATGTATTTAGTATAGCTATATACATTTGTACAGGAAACTACTTGATAACTAAAGCTTGCTTTAAATTTTAAAAATAAAGAAAAATTCTTGATACTGCTTTAAATTTTATTTTGACAGAGTCTATCCTTAACTAAAGTCTCTATTTAAAGCCTTTTATATACATACACAAAATTTTGCAAAGCATACTAGAAATTGCACTTAGCTATTAAAAGTAATGTTATGCAATTTTAAATGACGGGGGCTCTTATGTTTAGTTTTCAGTTCTCACACTTTAATGTGCGAATTGTCTCAGGTGATTGTTAAAGGTGTGGGATTCTGTTTTTTTAATAGGAATCTAGTTATTTTAATGTGAAGATTTTTTTAAATGGTTGGAAATATACCAAAATATGAACAATTTATATGTTAGTGTGATAGAGGTCTATGGCCATGCCTCTCTGAATAAGCCCAATCCTGTCTGATCTCAGAAACTAGGTAGGGTTGGGCCTGGTTAGTACTTGGGTGGGAGACCACCTAGGCGTAAAAAATAAGGGATTGTAAACTGACAAGGTCCTTGCAATCTGTGAGGTCAACCAAGGGTTGCCTTGCCTAAAAAATATATAAATAAATAAAAATAAAATGTTAGTGTGATAGAATAATTATTTTTTAAAAATTTTCTATAATGTGATATTATTTTTCTAATTAAAAAATCATTACAAAAATTGAGGATAATTTTTAATTCTTATCCTAATCCATCTATTGTTAATCATAAAAATTTGTCATACAATTACAATATTACTATTACTTTTTTGATGAATCATTTTACTTTTATCAAGATATGAAAAGTTGCTATGGAAGGAAAGGAAAAAAAATTTTAATTGTCAACTTCCTAATTATTTTTATTTTATAAACTGAGGAAGATAATTAGAATATTATCAAGACTAATTAAACTTTAACTAAATTCAAATGAGTATTTGGGGAAGATTAAAAGTATAACATATTGAATAAACACAGATCTGTTCCTGATATTTTTAAACACTTCCTACATCCAGTCCTTTGTTAAATTCCACAATTATTTCCCAAGCATTAACTGAACATTATCTTTTGGAACTAAAACTATCCTCTGAGCGATTATTGAAACTAATGATCGCTTACAGTAGATTATTTAATTTTGTAAAATGTAAACCTTGTCAGAAGAAAAAATGTCTAGTAAACCTTTGACTAACTGTGGTAACATCCATTTTAACAGTTTAGCTGTGCCCTTTACCTGGAACATTTTTATGTGGAGATCCAAAGATGCCACAATATCTAACTGTTCAAAAATAAATTAGTTTTTTCTAACAATACTAAGAATAGTTTTCATATTTCATTGAAGATTTTATAAAATGTTAGTGTAAATGCCTATAA